GTGGGCCGTTCCGATAAGACCGGCGGGGCGGCGTAACACGGAAGATCGATAGAACAAGGTTCGCGATTGCGGCGGATTTCAGTGGTGGCGCCGGCATGATGCTGGCCGTCAGAATTTTCAATGATGGAGGCACCGTGTATAACGTGCTTGACGAAGGTGAGCTGCCCTCCGTGGAACTGGACACCTATGAGCAGCCAGTGGAATTCCAAGCTGAGACGCGATCGTTACAGGTGTCTGGTTACACGAGGCTGATGGAAATTGAGATCGAGACTATGAGAAGGTAACGCAGGATCATACGAAGGCTCGATTGTGCTGTTAGTTGTGCAGGCATCACTTCTAGGTATTGCACGCATTTGGTATTGTTGGACATTGTCTGCCTTGGGGTTGTAGAAGAGTCGCCTCGGAAAGAATTAGCAAACTATAGTTGGGAGTAAAACAATCAATTGTGATGGCTGTAAAGCATGATTTGGTGGAATATCTAGCCACCAGAGCTGCATACCTTGACTACGGAAGGTCTTGGCATGTGCTTATATAAGCACAACCCCTCCGAGGTCGACAGGTCCCAACGAATTCGGAAGATCTGCTTACAGCCCTGTCTGAGACGACCAGAACCTCGAATCGCCATTCACCTTTGCATAGCCTTTGCAGAATCTGACAAAATGCCCTCCGAACCCAATGTCAATCGCTATCTCAAGCAGTCGCTTGACCATATCTTCCAAAACAACAAGAAATGGGTCTCATCGAAGAAAGAAACAGATGCCTCGTTTTTCGAGAAGCTTTCTGCTGGGCAATCCCCAGATTACCTGTAAGAAACGTGGCTTTGAAATTTTCGGAACGGAACGCGACTAACGGCCATCAGGTACATAGGCTGTAGCGACAGCCGTGTCCCTGCCAACGAGATCATGGGCCTGGAGGCTGGCGAGGTCTTCGTTCACCGTAACATCGCCAACCTAGTGCCCAATGTCGACCTCAACGTGATGTCTGTAATCAATTATGCTGTGCGGCACTTGAAAGTCAAGCACATTATCGTTTGCGGCCACTACAACTGTGGAGGAGTTAAGGCGGCCTTGACACCTGCTGACTTGGGTTTGCTGAACCCGTGGCTCCGAAACATCCGCGACGTGTATCGCTTGCACGAGAAGGAACTCGACGAAATTCCCGATGAGCACGCCAGGTACAATCGTTTGATTGAACTCAATGTGGTGGAATCCTGTAGGAACATCATCAAGACTGCAGCTGTCCAGCAAAGCTACCAGGAAAATCAGTACCCCATCGTTCATGGATGGGTTTTTGATCTCGGCGACGGCCTGCTGAAAGACCTCAAGATCGATTTCGAAGCTGAGTTGGCGGATGTGCAGAAAATATATTGTTTGTCCCCGGGTTCCAGTTCGGAACATTAAGTGATCGCATTCACAGTTATCAACTGCCACGAATCTAGTGTGCATCTTGTTGTTATCAGCCTGTATCTTTCTGACTTTTCCTTTGGCCTGTTTCCCCCATCTCCATAAAGCCATCTGTATGGGTTCATGGCAGTAGGTGATCTCTGTCATATTCGGCTTTTCCTTTTTATCAATCAGTTGTGCTTCTTGTTTCTTTCTTTCTGCATGCTATCGATACCATGCATATCACGTAGCACGAAAATGGATTGAAAATGAAGAATCTCCGTCCGGTTGTCGATTAGAGAAATGGGAGAGAGATCCATGGAATGAATGGAGCGATTCTTTGAGAAAGAGAGAGAATGCCCCCAAATGGCGATGTGTTTCTGTGTTTCACTTGGACAGCGTTGGATCAAAAAGAACTAGCAAAGGATTAAGGATCAATGACGGCATGCTTTTAGGGTAGTCTTGCCGGACAAGTCGTCATCAATTGATCGTATTGCTGAGGTCTTTGGGCACGAACAACTCGTCGTTAAGAGCATACTGGACAGTGCATTCTTTTGGCAATTCTACCAGAGAATCCAATCCAAAAAAAACCTGCGGTGGTGCTTGTTGAAGGCAAGGTAGATAATCTGCCTCGAGAGGCTCAGTAGTCAGCCCTTAAAGCCACGTTGCGCTCCTGCTGCCTCAAGGGTTAGTAAGTAGTGTTGTAGAATGCTCCAGCGCTCTCCCAAGAGATATTGCAGGGAGCAAAAAGGATGTCAAGTTGCAACGAGTTTTCGGCAAGGCATGACTAAGTGTTAAAAAGGATCTCGGGGGTGTTTTCGGACTAGCTTCTTTGCCGATCGTCCAACGATGCAGATGTGCCTGGCAGTTGAACTGCCGGCGCCGATGGCCGGTTCCGATATATTGCCGGTTCGGCCGAAAGCTTTCACGTGGTTTCAGAAGTTGCACGAGCCCGTCTCAACCGAAAGAGATCTCTGGTGGAATGTCTTCGGTTAAATAGGGACCTTGGGCTCCATTGATAACCCAAACGAAATCCGTAAAGGGACCAAGTCTCGCTCCCGAGGTCCTCACTTATGTTCCAAGGTCAACGTCACATCCACGTGTAGCACACTAGACATGTATGTCTACAAGTCCGCTCATGGAAGATACCCTTAAGCCATTCTTCTTATGTGGAACAGATTGGTACTGAATAGGAATATATAACGGCTTGTCGGCACTTAGAATAGATGCGACTGTTCATATTATCTTACGTCTTCTTTCACATTAGTTTCGTATGTCGCAAGAGCACATAGACATGGGCTTCTAAGATCCAAGCGTAAGCTGAGCACTAATGGACAGATTTTAAAATGTAGCTTTGCCCGGGCATCCAACACTAAAACAACATCCATCAAAAACATACAGTGAGGATTCGCTGGTGGTCACCTACGCAACTACCAAGTCACTGGTGTGTGGCTTATGTGCAGTCAATAGTTGGGTGTCGCCTAGGTGAGAAATGGGTAAATGCCGCTTTACGGTCGTGCGACCGGTGGGACAAGGGTGAGTGCGCTATAGATAGGGTGAGAATCGGGGTGAGAACCACTCAACTCGTGCGACCACTGCAGTGACCTCTTCAGCTGAACATAAGCAGAATTTCATTGGACCGTGTCGTTTCCCTTGAAGCACTCGGCACCTACATAACTAGAACTGAAGGTATCATACCACCAAGCAGTAGGCAAGTTGGCTGTACGGAGTCCCAATCACATACATGTAATCGGTTGAACTGCTAGAAAAGCTATCTCCAGATCGAAAACCTCTTGTTTGACGCATTGTATAGTCTGGACATACATTCTCTGTTCAAATTTCGATAAATGAATCTTCGATTAAGATAAATGGTAAATTCTCTCAACTAGTGTCAGAGGGTAGTCTCGTATAGAATAAACCTCTTTAATACTTTGTTATAGATACGACTTACCATTGATATTTCTCTACTTAACTTTTATAACGTTATTATATACTAAAGTATATAGTCTTCACGGCGAATTCGGCGGGTTTAAATTCCTCCTAATTTAGAAGAGTTGCTATTTTAATTACCTCTAGTGGTCTTCGGAAACCTAAGTGCGGACTCTCGCCTTAGTCCGAAAGCAATTTTATATGACTAAAGCTGAATTAAACTAACTAAGGTTATTTAAGGCCTTGCCTAGAATATAATCGATAAACAAGTCTATACAAAATTCCCGTATTACGATCGTTCCTCTTAATTAGGCTACGTTAGCTTACCGACGTTAACTATATAGACTCCCGCAAGCTTAACTAGTAGACTTAGACCGAAATCAAAAATTCAACTTTATAGGATCGTGTACACTTTAATTATGATAAAAAGACCTTTAGAGTGGAACGCGGAATTTCGTGTGTTAGATATCAACTTGGTATTAAAAAGGGTTACATCGGCACCAGAGGCACGAGATAGGGATACGAGGCTTAAGATAAAGTGTATACGTAAGACAGCTTTTAGAGCAATTTTGATGGTGTGAACAAGCATAGCTTATATGGAGATTGAGTGGCGAGGGTAAAAGCCGGCCACACGAGCTACCTGTTTCTGCTCAGATAGGAAGCTACTTTCGAAAAAGAGAATGACAGTCAGATACAGTCTATTTACTACTTTGTTGCAGCCAAAATACCTCGAATTGGCAAAAGGGAACTAAGAAAGCGGACATTTTCCTGCCATCTCAACATGCAGTACTGTACTTTGAATGTCTCCAGGAAAATGCTAGTCGGGAGTCCATGCACGAGGAGTTAGAGAGTCTAGGTTTCGAACTGACTGAAGAGTCCGGGCATGGCGGAGTTTTCAAAGTCCAGGGCGAGAGCAATTGAAAATATCTTCGCAAGACCCTAAACCCCTACCAAGGATCTATTCAATGGTTGTCTTTGCTTGTAGCAAAGTTCTCAAATTGTCCCAACTTGTCCTAAATTTTTGATCCTCTGATTCACACAGATGCTAGCGAGAGGAACTGTTTTACATCGCATATTCAAGTAGTCTTCTTTGTCTCTCTGCCTAACTAGCTAGAGTGTCAACTCCTTGACATTCATAAAACAAATACAAATAACTCAAAAACAGTATGGGCCTTTCGTCTTAGTGGACTATACAGATCAAAACTGGGAATTTAAACTGGAATAAATAGGATAGCGTCTGTCGGGAATCCAACTTTTCAGAAGTGGTGCTTAAAACAGATCAGCCGTGCAAGTACAAATCAAGTGTCCCTTGTCCTGTTTAAGCTGTGATTGCTTGCCATCATGTCGGCTTGAGCATTCTCGGAAGTTTTAATACCCTGTTTTCAACCATAAGTTGCAATATAGAGTTTGACAACAGCTTAAAAGAGACCGCAATTCGTCTTTAATGGTTGAAGCTCTGCTTTCAAAAGCATTCTCGGGTTTCCCAACGCTGAGACTTGTGTAGTAAGATATTATTTCTGAAATGATATACAATGACATCTAATATAAATACAAATTGATAGTGTGTGGCGTGGCCCTGCACATCAAAGACACAGACATGGAAGCCATATACTACATGTGAAGATAACCACCAGCTGCATTCACCCAACCACGCAATGAAATGCAAAGCCACATTGAATGGTGCCCAGTCTAGCGGCTACCATAGTATGAAAGCACCGGGCTAAGACCCTGAGCAGTCCCGATGGAAGTCTCAAACTGGAGTCTCCACCATTCGACCAAATCACGGTTCTCCATGAAAGTTGCAAATTGAGTGAGCGCCGTGAATTCATCATCCCACACATTTCCTAGCTTAGAAGGCAAATCCTTCCGTGCCAAGTAGGTCTGGCTGTTGACGAATTGCTCTTGATATTCGTCGCTAAGCAACCAGCTCATAAACAATTTAGCACTTTCAGGGCGAGGAGTGGAGGCAAAAATAGCACCAGTCTGTGGCCACAGCAGGCGGGCGTCTTCAGGTGCTTTGCTAGCCAGGTTTGTCGCCGTGTTCAAGTTGGTGGTGAAAGACAACGAGCGAGTAGAGTTGACCTCGGCAACATAGTCAGCAGGTTCGCCAGTTCCTCGGACCCACTGAACATCCTGTTCGAGAAGTGATTCGAACCAATCCCAGCCATATTTGTCAATGATGACAGAGAACAGATAAGTGATAGCGTCATCGTCGTTGGGATACGTTAACGCTAGCTTGCTTTTCCACTCTGGGCGAACGAACTCTCCATATGAAGATGGAACACTAGACTCATTCAAGAGTCCGGTGTTGTAAATAAGATCTCCAAATTGGTCTAATTGACGAAGAATCGAAAATGTCAGCATGGGACATAATCTACGAAGGGACAAGATATCATCAGGGTGCTCACATATATATGCTCCCACAAAGGCACCATGAGGATCCTTTATAGCGGAATAAATATCCTCCCATTTCAACGGCTTGTATGGCAACAGCCGCCCTTCCCTCTTCCAGCGACCGAAATCATGCAGCGTCTGCAAAACTGCGATATCTGCGCCGTCGGTTCCATTGCGCTGGAACTGACGATTCACTCGGCTGTCGTGATATTTTGAAACGTCGACAGTCAGATTGAGCTTGATTTCGGGGAATCGTGCTTGCCATGCTGCAATCGTTGGTACACCTTGGCTTACAGCTTTTCAACCGTGTGAGTAAGAGTGTGTCCAGAATTCAAGAAAGGTGAAAATATTACCATCTCCTCCCCAAAGCACAATGAGGTCACCCATCTCGTGTTTAGCAGAGGCGTAGATCTCGTCCAAAGTGCGATTCTCAATGGCAGGATCATGGCTGGGATAGGAGTTCCAATTCGGCAGTACGCCGCAGCGAGCAAGGTCGACCAGGCCTAAAAGGCTGAGGATAAGGGGCTGTCTGGTAATCTTCATAGCTGCTTTAATCGTGGAGGCGAGCTCAACTGTCGAGAAGACTTAGCAAACGTGTATTCTGATGTCTTGGGAGAGAACCCATGCAGCAGTTGTTTATATAACTTGTAGCTTCATGTAAATCATAACATAGTTAACTATAGACGGAACTATCCCGCGCTTATGTAAAATTGGATTCTTCCAATCTTGGAAGGTTATTTTTAAAGTTATTATCAAGCAGATTTTTACAGCGGAAAAAGCAAGGGGGGAGACATGTGTGGTTTCTAAAAACCTTTCTGGGCACCTTCCCAACCCTGCCAATGTGGAGTAGCTTGGATTTTAGCTAAGCAGATTGATTTATAATCTGAAACATTCGGCCTTTCCATTTTCCGACGTCTTCAAATCGATCTTAGTCAGGTACATCGTTTGCATTGCTTGATAACCACGGAGTAGTGCAGGATAACTTCCGAACATGACTATCGACAAGCATTTAAAACGAACCCCTTTATTGCAAATGGCTCAGACTTAGATATCTGTCGGTGTGGCATTCAATTCACCATACTCGTTTCATTCTCAATAGCTTCACCCTAAGAATGGCAACCTTGTAAAGCGTTTGGCAAATTCGAAGCGCTATCGCATTACAAGGTCATGGGACGTCGATACCAATCTTCCATACTATCAAACCCCTACCAAAATTATAAAACTGTATTGTGAAGAACATTTAGCTATTTTGTGCTTCCGGTTTATGTGTGTAGTCATTTCAGGCCTCACTCCGTCTTATTGTGCAGGTTCTAGGTCGAGAGTATAACCTCGCTACATTTGATGGCTAAAAGCGTATGCGTGAAAAGGCTCAATCGCTTGAACTTGCACCCAAATTAGCCTTTTTAATATAGCTACCTGCTCAATAAAACGTGACCAATTCTTCCCAGTAGTTGAATACAAAACTACTCTTACCAAGAAACGAGGTAACAAAGTGGTAGCGCTCATAACGGTCAAAGTGACTGTGATTGTGCCGATCTGATGGTGTCAGTCTTGCTAATATCTTTGTACCTTGGTAGTCTGAAGGAAAAATGACACATACACAGGTGTTTGTTCTGCCCATGTCTAGTGTTTTTTAAACATTTGAGTGGAAAATGCCAGTTAGTGGCACCTGCCTTGGCTGTGATTGCATCCGGTCGAGAAATTCATTGGCTTTCAAGACATGCCCGAGTAATTTTTTTTTCTTCTATTGGGCATTTTTGGGTCGGCAAGACGGATACATGCATGGGTCAGCGTCATGATTGCCTTGAGGACACCTAGGAGCTGCAATTATAGGCCTACTGCCGCCTGATGGACGATATCCCCAGGTTATCGCTGCTGGTGTGGCCGGACTCATCGATTTTAGCCGTAACCTGCCAGGGTGTACCCGACTCGTAAGCTACCGACTTTGTCTGGGGCTTCCTTGGCCTGGCATGCCTCTATTGATATCCTGTCCGAAAAAAATGGCCAATAGCCAACCAGGAGTCTTTGGGCACCGGTGGAACAAGGGAGGCATCTCTAATTGATGTGACATGCTAGGGTGGTCGAAGGGACAGATAGTCTATGGTATTGATCATCATTTAACGCATCGGCACCCCTGTGCGTGAGAGAGGTGGAACAAAAGGTTTCGGTATAATTTGTGTCTCCCTACCCGCGGCGTGTATGTACTTGATGTGCTTGGCATTGCCGGCACTTATAAGCCACACGGGGTATATCTACTAGACCGTGTTCGACGACTGAAACATGTTGGCAACTCCGCATTGAGGGGTGCAACTTATCTTACTTTCGCCTCGTTATTTTGGAATCTTCGATTTTTGTCATAAAATAAAACTTTGGCCCATCTGTTAATTAACGTGAGGGGCTCACTTTGATTTGGCTGATAGGGGCATTGTTGGACAGGGCAGGGTTTCTAGTGGAAGAAAATGAAGTCCTAAGAAATTCGAATATAGCCTATATCTTTGACAGTACATTTCCTTTTTGTTTCTTCTAGGACCTCAAGTTGCAGGTAAAAGCTGAGAGTTGTGGTAGTTTTTGCTCATCCGGTAAGAGCCGATGGACTGAAATTCTGCAAGTGGGGTGATACCCCACAACCCCCGTGGACCTCCATCCCCACATTCCTTCACAACTCCACGTAGAGCTATCGAACCAGCATCATGGGACGCTCTTGCTGTGGAAACACGCTCAATCACGCAGATGCCGTTGACAAGGCTGTGTTAAAAACCCCAGATTCTTTCTCTGTGAATTTTGGTGGCGGTGCGTCATCGGAGACATCCAATCAAGGGAACTCGTCTGGAAACGACGATGTCCAAAAGAACGATAAAATTAAAGCCGCAGACGCCTGGTACCAGGAGCCTACCGATATTTGCAAGGTAAAGGCTCGACGCACGGCTTGCGAGAGAGGCTGTTGCGACGATCAGTCTAGCGAGACCATTGGTGAAATGGATGTCCTTTCTTGCGGTGCTTCTGCTTCTAAGGAAGCCAGTTGTGCAGGAAATTCGAACCCCAAAGCTGAAAGGCTAAAACGCAGTGTTTCATTTCCCGATACCTCACGGTCAAGCGAATCTGCGACTTCGGATGAACCTACCGAGGCAATGTGCTGCGAGGGCAAGTCTTCGTCGCCCTGCTGTGATGAAAGCTGCCTCGACCGCCTGGCTTTGCGTGAATGTGATAAGGGATCAACCACCCATTGCATGGAAGCAGCTGGAAACTGTATGTCGAAAGAAATGGCTTACTGTCATGTCACTCTGCTGACTTCTGATGCGATGCAGCACTTCCTTCGAAATCGACCCCCACAGAAGGTGCAAAGCTCAACCGCAGAGCTTGCGATCGTCACAATCGCTCGGTTAGAGAGCAGTATGCGACTAAGCTTATGGCTCTCGGATGTGTCTGCCGTGCTCTTCTTGCGCTAGGTAAAGAATCATGCTGCGAGCCTCGAAAGCGCTCTTCTCTGGATAAGGGGCAATTCTCCGAACGACCACTGAGACAGTCTTTCCCGTGGATTTCGGTTGAATCTCTCCGCAAAGTCGGCACGTCTACAAGTCGATCGCCGCTTCGAAGTACCGACCATGGCGAAACGTACAAACATAAATGTGGTGTCAAAAAGAGTGCCAGTCAAGGTTGCGCTACCAAATCTTGCTGTAAATCCAACTTTACTACCTCCAGTGACGAACGCATCGATCTCTGTAACAACAAACCTGGGGGAAAAGAAACTCAGTCCCCGAGTGGCTCGTGCGTTGATATCTGCTGCGCCTCCAAAAAGTACAAAAAGAGCGGAACTGTTAGCATTGACCCTGATCTAGAGGGTCAGGCCATAGGTGTCGAGCATGTGGTTCTATCGATATCTGGTATGACTTGCACTGGCTGCGAGACGAAACTCAACAGAACCCTCGCAACAGTGGTAGGTGTTAAGAACCTGCGGACTAGTCTGGTTCTGTCTCGAGCAGAGTTCGACTTGGACCTCAATCTCTCTACTGTAGACTTTGTTATGAGGCACTTGGAGCGGACTACAGAGTTCAAATGTGAGATCATCACCAATAATGGGTCGGCTATGGATATATTTGTTTCTGGGGATCCAAATTTGATTGTCAACCAGGCTTGGCCGGAAGGCGTGAGTGACATATCGCTCATCGAAAAGTGTACTCTTCGCGTTTCCTTTGACCCGGAAGTGGTTGGGGCACGAGATCTCATTGAAAAACACTGGGGCGAGATTGCAAAACTTGCGCCCATCTGCGCTGACCCAGCACTCGCAGCTGGAAGCAAACATGTCCGCCATTCCGGTTTCATGACTCTCTTGTCTGCAGTCCTCACAATTCCAGTGTTAGTCATGGCATGGGCCCCCATCCCCGAGAGAGAAATCGCCTATAGCTCTACCTCGCTGGCTTTAGCTACTGTCATTCAGGTTGTGATAGCAGGGCCTTTTTACCCTAAAGCATTGAAGGCTCTTATCTTCTCGCGGGTCATTGAGATGGATCTTCTTATCGTGTTGAGTACCAGCGCGGCATACATCTTCTCTGTGGTCTCTTTCGGCTTTCTCGTCGCTGGTAGCCCTCTTTCCACTGGCCAGTTCTTCGAGACAAGCACCCTTCTGGTTACTTTGATCATGTTCGGAAGATATATCGCCACACTTGCCCGACAAAAAGCGGTGGAGTCAATCTCCATTCGGTCACTTCAGACACAGACAGCCCTTCTTGTAGACAAATCAAACTCTTCTGAGCCTCGGGAAATTGACGTTAGGCTACTGCAGTACGGAGACACTTTCAAAGTCCTTCCTGATGTCAGAATCCCGACCGACGGAACTGTAACATCTGGTTCATCGGAAGTAAACGAGTCCATGCTCACTGGAGAGTCCCGACCGGTTGAAAAAAGTCCGAAATCGCGTGTCATTGCAGGGACAATCAACGGGTCAGGAAGCCTGTATGTCAAGCTAACTCGCCTCCCGGGTGACAATGCTATTAACACTGTCGCCGCCATGGTCGATGAAGCCAAGCTTTCTAAGCCAAAGATCCAAGAACTTGCCGACAAGGTGGCTTCCTACTTCGTTCCAGTCATTGTTGGTTTAACCGTCATCACATTTGCCATTTGGGTGGCTGTCGGCATAGCAATACAAGGGAAGGCCGGTTCTGAAGCAATACAAGGGAAGGCCGGTTCTGAAGCAACCGTTCAGGCTGTCACCTACGCCATCACCGTGCTTATTGTCTCCTGTCCTTGCGCCATTGGTCTCGCCGTACCGATGGTGGTTGTAATCTGCAGCGGTATCGCGGCGGAGCGAGGTGTGATGTTCAAATCTGCATATTCCATCGAAGTCGCGCATAGGGCCTCCCACGTGGTCCTTGACAAGACAGGAACCCTTACTCAGGGAAAGCTCAGCGTAGCCGTTGAGCACCACCTTGGAAATGGTGGAGCATCTCTGTCACTTCTTTTAGGCCTAGTTGGCGACAGCAAGCACCCGGTTTCGGTTGCTGTTAGTAATCATCTTAGGCACAAGGGAGTTGTTGCAACGGCTCTCTCCGACATCAAAAGCCTAACCGGCCGAGGTGTCGAAGCGAAACTAGCTAATCAAACGCTACAAGCTGGGAATTCTCGCTGGCTAGAGCTTTCCACTCAACCCTTGGTGCAGCCGGTGCTTACACAAGGCTACACCGCGTTCTGCTTCGTCATTAACGGGGCGCTACTTGCGGTCTTTGGTCTCGAAGACTCTCTCCGAGCCGATGCAACCCACGTAGTTCATACTCTACAGAAACGCGGCGTCTCAGTTCATGTGGTATCGGGTGATGACGAAGGCGCCGTGCAGAATGTGGCCATAAAGTTAAGAATCCCTGAGAGTAACGTTCGTGCTCGGAGCTCTCCAGCAGATAAACAAGTTTATGTCAAAAATCTCCTGGGCAATTGTTCAGATGGTGATGTGCCGATTGTCATCTTTTGCGGAGATGGCACCAATGATGCCGTGGCACTCGCGCAAGCAACCATCGGTGTTCACATGAACGAAGGCAGTGATGTTGCTCAGTCTGCAGCTGATATTGTGCTTATGCGTCCAAATCTGTCTGGTCTTCTCACCATGATGGATGCTAGCAAGGTCTCTGTGAGACGCATCAAATTCAACTTTGCTTGGAGCTTTATCTACAACACATTCGCCGTACTCCTTGCAGCCGGGGCCTTTGTGAATGCCCGAATTCCGCCTCAGTTTGCGGGGCTGGGGGAGCTAATCAGCGTGCTGCCCGTCATCATCGCTGCTGTGCTTTTGAGATGGTCTAAAATCTAGCTGGTGGATGAAACAAAGATTATGTTATCTTGAGATTTCCCTTCTCGCAAGAGAAGACGATGCTATTCAACTAGCTATTGCATCTTTAGATGTGTCAGAGCGGCTTTGTGGTCTAACGGATCGAAGGCATTGTCGTTCGGCCGGCTGCTTTCAACAAGCAATCCTCCCCTTCTTTTCGCAAAATGCAGAATTTTTCTTCACATAGCCTCTACATAACACTGAAAAATGGTATTCTAATCCCGTGAGCTGAGGGGAGAGAAGATGACACGATGATTTCTTTAGATACTTCCTCGACTGTTGGGTTTTAAGCTCCTAAGAGTGTAGATGCGGTAAAATAGGCTTTGTGGAAAGGAGTTCTCTCTATACAACTCTCAATTCGGTCAAAGGCACATACACTTGCGTGGAAATATCCATTGGCCGCTAAGCAGGAAATAATTTTTGAGATAGGAAGTGACCCAATTGTTTTGGAATTGCACTGCTGTTTGTAGATCTCATCCACTTGGATGAATTCTTCAAAAGATCAAACGCGACCCAATTGTGCAGGACTCACAACTCTTACAGATCGTATCTACCATTCAAATGTTAAATTTAAATTCGTTCTAAAATACAAAGATCAAACGCGACCTAATCATGAGAGAATCGCACTATAAGAGATCGCATTTAACCTTCATCATTGCTCTTCAGATTCATCTTTAAAGATGAAAGCAAAAAGCGATCAAATTGTATGGAACTCGTACTCTAATCAGTCGAATTTAGCATTTAGTAGTTGCCGTTAGATTTTCTCTTGAGGATCAAGACAAAAAGGACTTACATATCCAAAATATTTATACCTTTCATGAATACCAACTGGTGAGTGGAAAGTTGGCTCCCAGGACTCTGGTCACCGCCATCGCCACAAGGTGGCTTGTGTGCTTCTCCTCATCCAACCTCTTTTCCCATAACCACCCAACGCTACCTGCTTCCCTATTCACCGGATTTTGCTTGAAATTTTCCAAACTGTCACATATTCTTTTTGATCCCTTTATCCAGAGTTACTACTCCTTCAACCAATGAACTGATCATCGCCGTGAAGAAGACCGCACACACATAATCTCACAGACCGAGCCGCCATGGCGCGACGGTACGAGATCGATGAGCTGATATGGCTCCGTGGCTCGCCCCTTGTCGCAAAGCCTTCTGGCCTACCTCCTATTGAAGAGTGGATGTATGTTGGCCCGAATGGTCGCAATTCTTCGGCCGTCCCGCACTGTCAACGTCAAGACTGACCGCAACCTCTAGGCCTCAACCTGATTCAACAACCACACAACGCAAAACCCATGGCACTCGTGATGCCAACAATCCGGCTGAGCCTACTGCCACAAACAGAAGGCCTAGCTTTTTTGAACCCAAACACATCTCTCGGGGGTCCAATTCTGGTATTATTATCTCCCTTTCTGTTGATCACCAAGCATCCTGATCGATCTACAATGGAAGCACTTGCTAACGTGGATTTCTTTTATTTCTAGAGGACATTGTACTCGGCCCCCCGAAAACGGCCTTCGCTTCATCCCGCATTGGTGGCAAAGGCTCGTTCGATCCGACAGACCGACCAGCGGCGCGGCCCAACGACTTGGATGAAACAAAGAATGAACGACTCAATTTCAGAGATAAGTTTTTCAAGGACCGCGATGCTCCGGAGAAAGAGTTAGATCGACGGGAGGCCAAGCCAGGACCACTAGCTGCCCGGCGTGGAGAGAGAGAAGACTGGAATTCCGGGCGCCCACGTCGCACCTTCGGCCCGGATGAACAGGAGCGCAAGCCCAGACGAAACGGCGAGTTTGACCGATGGGAAAACAAAGAAGGAGCCCGCGATCCTATTGCTGAACGTGCGCCCCGTGAGAAAGATGGCCGATTTACCAATCGGAAAGAAGGACAACCCCCACGATCCAAATATGAAGGAAGCTGGTTCCGCGAGGAACATTCCCAAGAGGCCGCTGATGCTGATGAAGATAAAACGCCTTTGCGCAACCGAGAATGGCGCCAAAATCTGACCCGAAACGGCAACGAACGTGAGTGGAACCGCGGCGCCAAATTTGAACAAGAACCTGAATGGCTTGATGCCAACGACCGAGACGAGCCACGACGAGCACATACTCAGGAGGACTTTGAGCGGTGGAAAGAGCGTATGAAGGCTGGATCTGGATCATCTACACAACCCGAGGCACATGTGGAGGAGAAGAAAGAAGCACACATTGAAGAGCAAAAGCCGGAAACTCGCCGTACTGATGGTGAAATCTTCAGCAATTCCGGTGCTCAGTTCATGTCCGACGAATCGATGGAACGATTCTTCGGGCTCTTGGGTGATTCAAAGGCTCAGCCACAGACTCCAGAAGTCAGCACTCCCATCGCTGCCGATCCAGTCGCCAAAAAAGAACCTTCCCCCTTTCCCGGAAAGTCTGGAAAGTCATCTCGTTTTGCAGGTCTCTTCAGCCCCATGCCAGAGAGCCCTGCCAGAGAGCCCGAGCCGATGCCTTACTTCAGTGCCCCGCCCCAACATCAACCTTATCAACAGGCCCAGCCGGCGCCTGAAAGTATGCCTTTCCCATCCCACAATGCGGACCAAGAAGGCTTTCAACGCATTCTGCAGATGCTTGGTGGGCAACGTTCGGAGAATTCTACGCCCCACGAGGTGGGTTTGCCTCAGCAGCAACGGAACATTCCCATGATGCACTCCGAGCAGCAACATACCGCGCTATCTCTGTCATCTCCTTCCAGGGAACACCCCCACCGATCCGATTACAGGGGCGCTGGTCCCGAGAATCCTATGGCCCAAGTTGGCCCCAAGGATTCCCAGGCACTGGAGAGGGCGCACTTGCTTCGTTTGATGCAGCAAGTCAGAGTCGGTCCACCACCGGCGGGTCATTTACCACAGCAGTCTCCCAATCCGGGTATTGCCCCTCCTCCAGGTTTGATGCCAGAAGGCATGCCACGTCCTCCACCAGGGCTTTCTACTCAAAAGGCGCCCACTTTCCTTGATGACCCTGCAATTGCGAACATGCAGCGACCAGATAGCGAGCACCTCCGCCGGCGACCTGCAAATGGTCCGCCTATGGGATTCTTTGACGATATGCCGTTCCCTCAAGGTAATCAAGGCCCTATGACCCCGGGTGGTCATATTACCCCTGGTGGCTCGCGCCCTCAAGGCGCAAATCAACCTCCTATGCTGCTTCAGCGACCCCCGGGTCTTGAGCATCTGCCACCCCCTGGATGGACTGGCCAGCCTGTCCCGCAGCAAGGAAATGTACCAAGCCCTATGGGCCCTCCTGGAATATCCACACCGGGCCGCAGCGTGAACCCTAACTTCCCTCCTGGCATGCTTCCTATGCCCGGCAACCCGCTTCCAATGAATGAACGTCAAGGCTTTCCTCGCGGTCTGCCTCCAGGCATGATGCCACCTCCGGGTTATATGAACGGCCCTCCTCCTGGCTTCCCTCCCATGCCGCCAAACCCTGAGGCCCTGATGGGACTTGGTCCCGGTGCCCAGGTTCCCTTTGGACCTGGTAATCATGGCCCTCAGGGTCCTCCTCCCTCGTCTAGACACCTTCTGGAGATGTTCGGCCAGGTCAATGGCGGTGACATCCGTGGTGGCATGGTCGGCCCCGGCCAGTTCAGATAATCAGAAAAATATTGGAAATGAATTTCTATCCCCTCGATTACATTTACACACCATTTACCACAGCCCAATTAACCATTTATGATTATCTACGCTAGCTTGGTGAAGCCGATGTACAGGGGCACGTGATCTTCGTTTTTCATTTGCCATCCACCCAGATCCCACGGCAACGTCGCACTTCCTTTGGAGAGAACAAAATACCCATTTTCTTGTTTTTCTTTCTTTCCTTGATATATTTGCTCATGCCCCTTCGGCAAAATGATGCTCGTGTTCAATAACTGCCCTTATTCCGCGTTTGAGCCTTTGCTGCGTTGGCCTTGGCTTCTCTGGTGTGATTTTGCTGCATCGATTTACCGGGCCTTCTTTTTTTACCTCCCCTCTTCATATTTTCGCGGTGTTCTTGAAATCTCTCCAGAGGCGATACGTCTGTGCTGTGGCCTTTGGTGCTGGATCTGATGGGTGTAGTCGTGACGACTGCAACTGGGGGTTGCCAATATGTGTTGAAACGCTGGTGGATGGGTGGTCCTTGACTATGACTTAACTGGGTCTCTGCTCTTTGCTAGTTGTCAGTAGACCCATGCTTTGTTTCTATAGATAGCTGACCAACCTCACTCTATCCATCACTTTCGAGATTAGGATCCTTGTCAATTTCTTTAAAATACATTAGATCCATGGATGAGTGGCCAGTAGCTAAGATTTTTCGGCCTGATCTCAAGTAGTATGTGACATTTTCTATTCTGTCAGTATTGTTTGTGAATTAATGCTCCCTGCTCAGGAACAATGCCTCACTATACATATAAGACTCTCTCTCTCTCCATTGTGAACAAGGCAGCCTATTGCTTCCCTCTATACTCTTTTGATTCACCTGCTTGCCATGGCGGTCTTAGTGTGTTCCTTTTCTAATTACGCATTGGCTCTGATGTACCGGGTACCTTGTCTCGCTTTCGCTCTCGTTACATTCTTCAGAGTCTTAATCGATCATTTTCCCTTCTGATATATCTGCACATCTTCCCTTGGTCATCTTAGACTTCTGTGAATGCTAGATGTTGAATCTCGTCGGGTGTGATTGCCACTACCCATGCATCATGCACAAGTCTCCAAAGAGGTGTTTGTTCTTTCTTCCCTTCGTTCGAGCGCGATTCAGAGCAAGATCTGTAAATGCAGACACGGTTTCAGTAACCAGCACAGTAATTTACATATGCTGTTGAATTATCACTCTGTGAAGAAGTAAAACCTTCACGGCAGGACGAGACTATTTGATGAGATATTCATCCAGCCTTACAAGGCATAGCAAGCATATTTTTAAAGCTTAGTTGCAAAAAATCACCACAAACAAGCTACCTAGCCCTTTCCCTCCGTCATTAACCCTTTCTGGGGCTTAGAGGGGCGTTGGGCACGCGAGTTACTGGGTGCTTGCGGAACTGGATCACTGGATCGCCTGGTATTTGATTTTGGTTTGGACCTAGGTATAGTTAGCGCATATCAAACTACAAGTATCGCACATAGTGATTTTGGAACCAATCATAATGGACACATTACACTGATTTCCACCGGAAAAACTGACACAGTTAGAATAAGAGTGTAGGATGTGCGCAAGCTGATTGGATGTAGCCACGTGCAGCCACGTGATAAACCTTGCCCCCATCGATCTATCAGACGAACTATAAAATGACTAGGTATCTTTTTTGAATCAAAGATGGAGACTTATCTCAATTGAAAGTTTCGGTAACTTGGGAATAGACGTAGTGCTTTTGAATGTTCAAATACACTTGGGTTAAATCCAAGTAATGTAAGGTCAAGTATCACTGCTAACGCCGCGAGACTACTTACCCAAGACCCCGGCCTGTTGGACCGACGACTAAGCGTACCATCTATCACGACTAAGCGCAGAACAGACTCATTCTTTCCTGGATGAGACCAGTTACTAGGGTATGTAGTTCCATGTATCCATATCTGATCTCATCCTTGTCGTCACCCGACACAGCGCCCACGATACCTTGACACAACCCCGTACAGGATTCGGCCACCGAGCATCGAGGATTGATCCTGACACTGCTTCGAGTTGCCTCATAATATTTTAAACAGTCAAGTACATACTCCATGTTGATCCCAGCTCTCGCGCTACCGTTTAGTCCTATGCTAACATCCTCAAAACACAGACAAGGTGTTTGAGCCAAACGGCGAGTACCCATAGTTGATCTTCTGAATCAAAGACATTGCAACATGTGTTTCTCCAAGGTAGGAGTTCCCTTCAAGTCCCCCACAAGTTAGATATATTGGATAGCTGGAGACATTCGCAATGGAAAGACTTGCGTCTCAATGGAATCGTGTGCTAATTGAATCGCTGAGTAGTCTTCCAACATGGATCCCGCGGACGTGGATGTTAGTCTTGAAGTGGGCGACGATAAGGTAGGTCAATGTCTCAGCGCTTTCCCCATTTGCGCACGCGTTATTCTATTTGTGTTCCGTCGAGCTAATGTCTGACGCTCTCCGCGCTCACCATCTAGGTCTCCCACATACAGACTGAATCTGCACTTCCCCACGTGCTACCTTCTGTGGAAGACAACTTCGACGAAGACCCTGGCACTGCGTCCGTCTCTACCGGAGTGAAGCGCAAGCGTGTCACTACCCCAACACGCACGCAGGCACATTCATCTGCTGGGACCATTGACCCCCTCCCTTGGCACCTAGATTCTGCCTACAGTAACTCGCTAGACTCTTCGCCTGCAATTGACAAGTCCCGTCTGACTCGGCTTGGTAAGTCTCTTTCTTTCATCTCACCTTCTCTTTATTCCCAAATGACTGGACAAGCAACTCATTGCTCCGAATCTAGGAACCGAGGAGCTTGAAGGGTCTGTGTGGTCCCCACCCCCCACGCGTCAGCTTCATCTCGGTGCCATGGCTCCTCTAGAGCCCTCGGAGTTGCCTGGCCTTCCGCCCAACCCCAACCCCAGCTCGCGCGTTTGGGAATCTCACCGTCCTTCCAATCTGAACTTCACCATTTACGAAGACCCTCAGGACCAGGAGAGCCCCAGGGTCAGCCCTTTGCAGGAGGGGTTCCACACGATCGAAGAGAATAAAGAGAACATCTTCCTCACTAGCTCTGACTATGGTACCTCTGATGAAGATGAACAGGGCACTCGGCCCAACCTCTCTTGGAATGAAGCTTCCGCTGGCCCTCGCGATGCCTTCGGTCTCCCCCTCAACCATGAAATGTCAGATTTCGTCCGACCTCGCGATACGCCATTCCCCGAGCGCCACATGCGCCGCGGTCGAGAGGTCCTGCGGACCCTCTGGGTTGATGAGACACAAGTTGCCGAGGAAGATAATGGTCGGCTGCATGATAACGTTCTGACTGACGCCCAGCTTCGGGAGATTGAGCAGATTGAGGAAGGTTTCCAACGAGGACGAACTATGTTCCGCCCTAACCGCCCCTCTGCTTTGCGTGAAAATGCCCCCTTTCAGGCTCCGGCCAACTTTGATGATGACGTTCGCCGCGTCCTTGATTTCCAGCAAATCGATGATCCTCCCACTGCTACCGCTGAGGGAAACGAGGGTCGTCGCTCTGTCACTTTCGCGGAAAGCGAGGTGGAGCACCAGCAGCACCAGCCGGAGCAGGAACAGGAGCAAGACCAGTGATATGGGAAACTTACGGCTTCTGGCTCTGAGATTGTTCGCGATCTGATTGTTCCATCGCCTGATGATATCCTCTCGATCTTGTGAAGATTCCACTTTGTTCAGCACAATCCGCAATCTTCAGGTTTGTGATTAATCTTCGAATACGCTTTAACGATTCACGGTATGTATGACTAGCCTATTGATAGCCGATGAATCTATGCTATTTTGTCCAACAAAAAGTGCATCCCGCGTAAGCATTCTCGTAGATCTAAGCATAGAAACACTGTAGTTCTACATATTAGTGAATGGGAAGAAAGCCAATCTCAAACATAGTTGTACGCAATATATACCTGCATTGAGGGATGTTCTAAAACGATATCTTAAAAATCGTTTCAAAAGTCTTTAAAAATCTCATCAAAAGAGTCAATCGCATGCCAATCCACAATTCCCATAAGAAGACTCTTCCACAGATGCTCCCAATAAGACAGATACAGCTAGCAGTCTTTGTGTCCTCATCGGATTTGTAGTTTAGGCCTACTGTGATATCGGGCGTGTTTCATGTTGACCAGCAAAAAGTTGGCATCGCTCTTGCTCTGTAAATACACTGAGTCTCCTAGAAAGGACTTCTACTTCAAATTGAATGCTCATCTCTGCCATAAGCAGCTCATCTCAAATCCATCCTGCCATACAAAGTGCCGTGATCCATATTATTCCTTGGTTTTGTGGGATTCTTGTTTTCAAAATTTTTAGTTTTTTTTTTTTTCATTCTTGGTGTTCCACTCTCCATTCTCTTGCCCATGCCTCTGCTGTAATGGTTACAGCAAGCTAGCTGCATTACTTAGCAGGCACAGATCTAGTAGATCTTCCGCTGGAAATAGCTTTGACGGTGGCTTTGGGTGCGGCTGTCCACGCATCTTTGGACGGTAACTGGACCCTAAATCCGACCTTTGGGTCATCGGTGACTTTACCAAACATCTCCAGGAGTTTTTTGATAGTTTTTCGGTCCATTAGCACACTTTGACTCATGACCTCACTGATCTCATTGGATTTTCTCTTCTGGGTCATCTCCATCCAATCATCAATGGAACGGTTGACCATGAGCATGACACATTCGACATCGCGCTGTTGGCCAAGACGCCAAAGACGATAGAACGCCTATCATTTTGTTATTAGAGCACTATGATCTTCCATTTTCCTTGGCCGTCTGACCTTGCTGATGGATTGAAAGTCCGTGTGGCTTCATCCAGAATAGATAAATCTTCACGTGCTCCAGATTTCTCTGCGGCTGGGATACTGGCAAGCATCTCTCTGAAGGCCTTTTGCTTGATTTTTTCTGTGGAGACCAACCCGGGGGGTAACGAATCCTTCCCTTTTCTGAACCCACCATCGTTGTGGAAAATACTTCGGATTTCTTTCTTTGTCAGTACTGTGGGCGGATATCGATATGTCTTCTGCTGTCCCTTTGCGCCAGGTGCTTGTGCTTCCTCGGTTTCAGGCGTAGGTTGCTTTCGAGCCCCTTTCTTCGAAAGCAACTGAGCAAGGCCAATTTCTTTGGCCTTTTGAACCCTTGCTTTTGCGACTCGTGTAATTGCGAGCTTTCCTTTAGCAGGTTTCTTCAAATCTGTCTCGTTTTGCGCTTTGCACGGAGGATCTTTGGGTTCAGACTGTGCTTCCGAGCCAGGAGAGGACTTGTTCTCACTCTCGGGCTCCGGTTCCGATGTCAGTTGGACACTCAGTTTACAAAGCCTGTCAGTTTTAATCTTTCTTCTTCGTTCGAGCTCTTCTTCTTTCCGCTTTTCATCCTCAATCTGCTGTTCGATCGAAGGAGATCGCAGGCTTTGAAATTGTTTCTTGTATTCATTGAATCTAGATTCATCAGATTATTATTTTTCTCACGTATTGATTGGCACTTACCCAGAAATGTCATTTTCCCCTAATTCGAGGGATGGGTCGCTGGTATTGGAGCTGATAGAACGTGAGGAATCATCGTCTTGCACGAACAAGCTTTTAACTGGGCATTCAAATTTTTCAATTGACTTTCTCACAGCCTTGTGGTGCTGGTGGAGAGCCATCAAGAAATTGGCACGCGGCATAGGCCGTTTTTGAGCTATGGAATCGTCGACCTCTTCTGTGATATCAATCATGAAACGCCCTTGAACTTGCTCTGCATTGTTGAACTCTTGGGGTTCCACCTTAATTTCTGGTTCCTGTTTGATATTGGGTGTTTGGTTGACGGTCAACGGCTTGTATCTACCCCAGGTTTTCATGCCCTGTTCATTCTCCTTGGGGAACTCTTTCTTGATCTGCGGGCAGTTCAATTGACCAGAAGTCGATTGTTCACTCCCCGAGCTCTGTGCTGGAGGATAAGACGGGGTTGAAGACATGTCCTGGATCTCATCATGGAGTCCGAAAGTGAGGTGGCGATCACTCAGTTTGAACTGGGACTGAGCCATTTCAGCTCTGTCCTTGTGGATTTCTTCTTCGTTTGAGCCCTTCATGTTGCTGGTGTCAAGGATTTGGGGAAGAGAAACAAATTCTGACGAGGTAGATTGAAGATCGAAAAGGTGTCAACTCGTGTTGGTGAAAAGGGAGGGGGGTTGCAATTGCAATGGGTGTGTGAAGGAGAGAGGAAGAATTTGCGAAGGGGACGAAGGCCTTTTATGGCTCCCTAGATATATGACAAAACAAAGTAACTAGGTAATAAGTGGCTTGGGTTGGTCGTTGTTTTAGAGAATCCTATTGCAACGAGAATTTGAAGGCGACAGGGAGATTATATGGTGTGAAGGAAGTAAACCCCTTTTATAACTACCACCCTAGGGCAAAAGATGCAACATAGAGAGGCGAAACAATCGGACGATGACCGGCTCGGGGGTTTTGGGGCCCAAATAGATGATAGGGTACCTTAATAACCAACGCCCTGGGCCTCAAAGGGGAACTCCTGAATCTAATATATATCTCGGTAGCTATCATGAACAATATCAGACAAGATGCTGATGAGAAGAGCATGTCGAGTGGTCCTTGTTGTACTTCAATCCATACAGTCCCTGGATATCGGTTCTCTAGTTAACACTCAATCCTTTCATCAACATTTACCAACAGTAGAAGATCTTGTGTCTTAACAAACTTCATCTTAACATGATCTTCATTGAACCTGCCTGATCAAATTCGGATATCTCTCGAGGGCATCCTATATCTTGCCTTCGAACTACCTCTTCCTCTCATTTATGAACCGTCTCTCTTAGTTGAATATTCTATATATAAAAGCCTCAACTTTTCTCTGTTCTCCTTTACTCTATCGGCATCTATTCGCCATCTCTGTCATCATCACATTCATCATCATTCACTTACTCATTGTTCCTCTACTCCGTACCCAATCTGTATCTCTTATTCCTTCTATTGGTGAACGCTGATCTTTCTCCACATGTGCTCCTTGATCGTCCAACTCTGCGATCTCCGACTCTGTGATCTCCAGTCATCGTTCTCTCGCCCTCCGCTGTTTCAACCCACTCAACTGGACTGTGGTCGTCGACTGCGTTTGAAAAGTTTTCTTTATATCAACCAGGTTCATTTTCGTGCTCTGCGTTGCTTCACTCGAGTCATCACTTCATCCCTAGGATAATATACCGGGGTCCTTTGCCTCATCCCAATCTCGAGTGCGTGCATCTGCAAGTTTTCTGTTCAACATTCCTCACCAAATCTTTCATTCTCCTCATCATAGTTCTCCTTACCCAAGTCAAGAATACGGTGAGGGTTCCCCATTTGTTTCACTGCCCAATCTTCCGGCAGCGCCACTGATCTGTCTCGCAATCTGAACATGCAACAACCCGTCGAAATGGATCAACCAACTGAAAGCGCTGCCTTCCTAATTAATGAGGTCCCATCGGAGGAGACCCCATCGGAGACTTCAAATAATTCCAATAATACGCAGGTGAGAGCTGAGCCAGACTGTCCACCAAACAATCTGGCCAACGTCCCAGATCTTGAAATCGGCACCCCACCTGCTAAGCCAAACGAGGAACTGCGCGCATTCGTCCCCGATTCAAAAGTGCAAGACAACGATGACCCCGAGCCAGATAATTTGTCCAAAGGGTCCGAAGAGGGACCGCTAGATGAAACAAGCTCAAACGAACGATCCGACAATGAGCTTTCTTCTGACGAGGAGTTCGAATTTGCCTCGGATGATCAGTTCCCGAGTGACTCCGACTCGGGGTCGTCTGACGATGATGGCGATTTTGATCCCATCGACTACATTACGAAGCCAACCAAGAAGAGGCCCCGGAAAGAAGGAAAAAAGAAGGCCAAGACCTCAGTCGCCTTGACTGAGAAGGTCAAAGATCTGATGAGCAGCAAGATTCTGAGCACTGCAAACGCCAATGCAAATGCGAGCGATGTACCTGGGTCCCAGAAAAAGGACAAGTCGAAAGCGCTCGCGGAGGTGATTGCAAAGCTTCCAAAGAATGACCGATTGCAGGCCAAAAAAGACGTAGCTGAATTGATTGAGAGCTCCAAGAGGTTCACGCCTTCCGCGAAAATCGTCACCATGAACTGGGAGGTTAGGGGTCTCAACACTTTGCTGAAGCATCATCAGGTTTGACTCTTGATTTAATCAATTTCAATCTTGATACGTGACTAACGATTGAAATAGCTCAAGGCAGCTGCGTGGATGGTAAGCTTGACCATATAGGGGCTGTGACATGATGGTGAGCTGACCTGCATAGCTCGACCGCGAAAGCTCGGAGGAAGAGCCAAATGGAGGCTTGCTCTGCGACGAAATGGGCCTCGGGAAAACACTTACAGCTCTCGGTAAGAACGAGGAATATGATCACGACACAGTATCAGAAAGCTTACCTTTTCGGAAGCAATTATCGCGAACGAAAAGTTCCCACCTCGTTCAAAAGCTCCCACCCTAATTGTTGTGCCGAGAAGTTTGGTTGCACAATGGTATGTCTCACTCTTTGATCTAAAGACAAGGGTTGTGTTTCTGACCTCTAGCATTATAGGCTCGATCAGATCTCTACGCATTGTGTAGAAAAGATAAGCAAGGACGTCCTCGAGCATTTTGCTGGTTCACAAACGAGACGGCAAGATGTCGCGAAGGCGATGCGACAAAAACGTATTGTGTAAGACGATTTTTGAAACCAGTGACTTTTATTGCCACTGACTCTAATAGGCTCACCACATATGAGCAAGTCTGCAATTCATATCCGAAGCTAAAGCCACCAGTTACGATCAAGACACCTGAAGAGCTGGAAGCCTGGCGGGAAGAAGAATTCAATTGCAGGGTTGGACCTCTCCACAAGGTTGAGTGGCACCGAATTGTCCTTGATGGTTAGTACATGGCGTTACTATTAAAAGAGATCGATTGCTGTTGGTTCTAATTCTGCTTCGCAGAAGCACATTCCATTAAGAACAAGGATTCCGCCACCTCGATTGCTATCCGAGCCCTGAATGGCAAATTCAAATGGGCTTTGAGTGGCACGCCTTTGCACAAGTAAGAATCAGTTCCGATGGCGCGCTCTGAACTGACTGAAATATTTGTACTGACTATCTCCTCTAGCGGCGTGGGAGAACTATACCCATACCTCCATTTCATCTTTACGTCGGAAAGAATGGAGTATCAGACCTTCTTGAAGAAGTACTCTAAAGTTAGTCTCGCGGAGCCTTTGCTTCAAAATCCAAAGCTAACCTTCTACTCAGGGGTTGGACCAAATTCTTGAGACCGTACTGCACCGCAGTACATACAGTACCCAGATACTTGGCAGGCCTATCGTGACACTTCCCGGCATTATTAACAGGGTTGTGGAGGTTGAGCTCTGCCAAGCTGAGAGGCACCTTTATCGAGAGATTCAAGATGTTGGCATTGCGATGCTCACTGGTAGGTCTGGAAACATTGGTGACGAAGTACTCAGCGCTAACACAGCCCATAAGGCTTGGCCCAAACGAAAGAACGGCCAACAAGATGCATCTTGGCCGTTATTACAATGCTGAGAATGTTTGTGAGCCACCCGCTCCTCGCTCAGAAGTTCCTCGAGGTCGTTCTTAATCAAGGTGTGATCAAAGCGCTCAAAGCTATGGCAGAAGAGAAAGGTGTTGCTGAGACCCCATCTGGAATCATCATCAGCTTGATTCTGGCTATGGGAGACAAGGTTGCCCCCCGACCAAAGCCTCCAGGAAGTTTTTCCGAGCTGCTTGGAATATATCACAAACACATGATGAAGGTCCGTAAAGAAGAGGGAGTGTATGCGGAGCTTTCGTACAAGATTTGCCCCCTTTGCATCGAGACTGTGAAGGAATACCGGCCGTTTGTTATCACATCCTGCTATCATCTTTACTGCAAAGGGTGCTTCGACGGACTTCCTGACCAAGACGGAAAAATTGACACTGCCACTCGAGTCTGCAGCTCCTGTAAGAAACCTATTGAGGAGGCTGGGTATTCCGATGATTCTCCAAAAACTTCACCAAAGAAGGGCTCGCCAATGAAGAGAAAGCAGTCCACGCCGAAGCCTAAGGGCAAGAATATCTTCGCGAAGCGTCCTCGATCAACATTCAAGAAACAAGTTCTGCATAGAGATCCTTCAGATGATGAGTGGGATGAGCCCGTTGAGGATGCGGATGATTGGGTCGCACGTATTGGCAATCGCATGCCTTCAGCAAAAACTACAGCGATTCTGGATCTCATCGCAAAGTGGATGAAAGAAGATGAAAACGTGAAAATCGTCATCTTTGTTCAGTTCCTGAAGACTGTTCAGATTCTTCAGTACATGTTCGATGAAGAGGGCTGGGAATACGCAATTGTATGTCAAGGCTGGAAGAAGAAACACCCATCGAGTCAGATTACTAACTTCGATCTAGATTACAGGAAAGGTATCTCCCACCTCGCGTGATCAACAAATCGAGAAATTCGGCAAGGACAAAGACATCAAGATCATGATCTCTTCCCTGAAGACTGGTGGTGTCGGTCTCAATTTGACCATGGCGAACAAGTGCATCCTCGTGGATCCTTGGTGGAATGAAGCAATTCAAGACCAGGTAAAGGAGTCGATATTGGGATTTCAAAAGGGTTGAAAGGTCACTATAAAGCTAACGATAGGTTGCTAGGCGTACTGTCGTCTGTATCGCATTGGACAACCGCGCCTTGTGGAATACGTCCAGATTGTGGCTAAAGGATCGATTGACACATGGATGATCAATCTCCAGAAAGAAAAGACCCGCAATATCCATCAGCTGTTTAGTGCGGACTCGCTCAAGGAGATCCTCGGTTTCTCTGGGGATATCCATGAAAAGCCAGATGGTGGATTTTCCATTTTGACTAGCAAGGAAAACAACCATGCCCACACCTGGGCACAGTGTGTTGAAACAGGGATCCTTAACGTGGTGGATTCTTTGGAAGAGGATTAGAAGGTTATTTAGCAGATGACGAAGAAAAGGAATGAGAAAGAAAAAAATATGATGTGGAGGAGCAGGTAAAGGCGCAGATCGATGGATTTAAGCAGCGGCTTGTTTCAGCTGCGAAGGGGCATTTATTCTCATGCGTTGCCCTGATGGTTTTCCTGGACAGGCACATGCACATTCATTTGACTTGATAAAAATTTAAACTCATTTGTAGTCAATAGTCTATAGTCTACATAGAGCATGAATTCCACTAGACTAGAAAAGCAAAGACGGCGGCGGCCCCTGTTAGACTTTGATGATCCGATCCATATAGGAGCATGCCAAAGTGTTCGTACTGGTTCTTTTCGGATGGCCTTCCAGGTGGTCTGTTAAGATGTCCTCGAAGTCAGTAAAAAAAGAATCAACCGTGTAGAGGACTTGAAAAATCCCAAGCCCTCAAATCTTGAATCGTCTTCCGTCTTTAATCGCGAGAGCCACCTCATTGTAGGCCCCGGGAAACATCTACTGAGAGTCAAAGCAAGGGAGCAAGTAGTAGCAAGAGAGAGGAAGAGTGATTCATATCATTCAGAGCCCTAACCAAAAGTGGTCCGGTGAATGTGATACATCATGCAACAAATACTGGAAGAGAAGGTTTCAATTTCATGGCAAAATCCTCGCAATATAACATTGACATGAAGAAACACCACCAATTGATTACTTTAAAGATTATAGAAACGAAAAGCGAAAGGCCCGGGATTTATGTAACCTCCCGGCCAATCTTAGAGGACGAAGATATAGAACAGCCCGAGTAAGAGCCAGCGAGTCAAGTGGACTAGCCGGCTGGGTATCACAGAAGAAACCGGGTTGGAGATGGCATGCCGGTATACAGGCATATGAACAGAGTGCATTCGCTGGCCGGTGAGACAGACCATTGAGTAGACACTCCAACGCGAACGAGAACCGGATGGAAACCAAGAACGCAGAGATGGCGCTTAGTAGTCAATTTTCTCCTCGTAGATAGGGGGCTGGCCCTTTTCCTCGTTCCACTGGATCCTGCAGTTCTCGTCAAGATAGGCGTCCTCGTCCGTGATGGGGATGACCCGGGAGGTGTGCGCGACTTCCTGGGAGCTGACTCCGAGGGCGTCGCGGGGAATCCAGAGAAGAGGAGGCTGCGAGTTGATGGCAGGGTGGCAGTAGGCATCACGCTCAACCTCGGCAGAGTAGGTGGGGACCTCCGAAGATCCGGGAACCAGCTTGCGCAGCTGGTAGTAGTTGTGGTATAGGTCCGGACGCAGGAACTTTGTGAACACGTTCGGCTTGGGCGCTTGCGACGAGTTCTCGGTGAGACCCTTCTCGGCGGAGTCGACGAGACCGTTGTCCATGTTGGCGACACCGCTGTCGCGGGGGGCCGAGATGGAGCCACTGGCGCCGTTTAGGTCCTCGATCTTAGACTTTTCGTTCAAGGTACTGATGTTGGCATTCTCGGCAGCGAGCAGACTCTCCTCCTCTGCCTCTAGATTCTTGGGCAAGTAGTTGAGGAGAGGATCCGTGGCGGTGTTCATCGAGATATGGAACAGGATAACGAAGACCAAGAAGATGATCATCAGGATCAGGGGACCGAGGGCCATTCTGTTGGCGCCAGTGCCAATGGCGAACAGACCAATCAGGCAAACCACAGACAGGTAGCATCCGACAGTGAGGTGTTGCAGAGCACGGGTGTAGGACCGACCCTGGGTGTCGATGGTTGCGTTCGACACGTACAACAGGTTGTACCGGAAAGCGAAGTAGAACAGGTAAAGACCAATGGTACCGAAGCCCATGACAAGTGGTGCAATGCAAGAGTAGACAATTGCTAGAACAAAAGTAAGTACCATAATTAAACCAAATGCATCATGGGATTTGACATACCAACAACGGTCAACAAAGTGAAGGAGGGGTAAACAGTGCCCCATCCGAGACCAGACAAGCTTGACCAACGAGTGTAAATCTTGCGAGGGGTGCTATCAAGCAACCGGCCCAAAACCTTTCCCAGGATAAGGCTGGAAATCTGGAGAAGAGCACCGGCGCTGAAAGACAATCCCTGCAGAATGATGTACGAGATGTAGAAGTTGGACGCAGTAGGGATCTTCTGGGCCAGCAGGGAGGCAGCCGAGGAGGGGTTGTGAATGATACTACTGACGACACTGGTAGCAGATGAGGCAACGGTCACCACCAGGAAGACCTGAACGATCTGGAAAGCGAAGAACCAGTTCTGGACAGTCAATTCAACGGCGGCCAAACTGGGAGCACCACCCAGCTTGGCCATCAGGCGAAGGATGATGGGAACTAGTGCCATGAGGACAGCCATCATGACGGTGGGCAGAAGGCCGGTAATAACACCCTTAATCCATGACGGCACACTATTGATAAACCTCAGGAAATGAACGATCTTGGTCAACGAGTCAATGTTGGAGATAGCACCAACGACTGCAGTGGGAATGGCCCAGAAGACGATCATAGCGCAAACAAAAGCAAGAGTACCAGCGTAGCGACCGAGGCGTTCCCACCACTTGATGCGGAGATTAGACCAGATAACCTGAGTGGGATCTAAACCAATGTAGCGAGGGCTCATGTGCAGGGGAAGGTTGTGGGCCACAGACTGGAAGGAGGCCTGGGCATCGGACTGATTGTAGAATTCTATAAAGACGGAGGAGACCAGCTTGGTTTCTCCAGCGCGGTGCTTGGCCTGCAATTCCTCGATTTCGGGAGAGAGACGCTCAATTTCCGAGCGGGCCCAGTTGATAGTGTCGACTTTCTTACCAATGAGCATCGTGAGACGGTGCGTGGGACGGTCCTTGGCCTCCACCCAACGAGCAGCAACGGAGCCAGACTCATCATCGAACTGGCCATCGCCAATGTCAGTCTCGGGGCTCTCAGCGGAGCCCTGCTTCTTCAGAGCCTTGCTGCGCGCCTTGTTAGCAAGCACAATGAGCTTGGTCTCCGCACCCTCAAGCATCATCGCAGCAGCGTCGCGCTCCTCGACCTTCTCCTCGAGCTCCTTAGTATCGGTTGCTATCCAGACGTTCTTAACCTTGTCACGGCCGAACATGGTGCGAAGCTTGTCCTTATTCAAAAGGTCCTGGGTAACGGTCGTAAACAGAACGGTGCGAGACGAGAGGCGGCCAGCATAGGCAGGCGAGAAAAGGTATGCCTGGCGTAGATTGATATAGAAGAGGTGCTCGCGGGTGATCATGAAGAAGATGAAGCTGACAAAGATCCAGGCGAGGAAGCAATGCGCGTAGTAACGACCGTACTGAGTTTCGTGAATATTCGAAATGCTCAGCTTGTTCAGTTGAATCTTTCCACCGCCACCAGTGGCATTAACGGGCCACAAGATGGGAAAAGTGATACAGCAACCCACAAACAACATAATCGAGCATAGTTTGAGGAAACGAAGCATCAGGTAGGCGTCCATTGAGTGATGCTGGAGGACATACGTGTCGGGTAGCTGGTACATGGCCTTGATCCAGTCCCAAGTTCCGGTCGGAGATTCGGGGGTGCGCTGCGAGGGACGAAGGTATCCAATGTAGGTTCGGGGCATATACATTCTGCGATTGCTCTTACGCAGAATGACGAAGAGCAACACCATCACAACGAAGGAGATGAGGGCAGGGATTAGGGTGGTGAGTAGGCCAGACAGTGTTGGCGTGGTGTCCTGCAGGCCATTGCTCTAGTATCATTAGTAAAGGACCAGCTACTCCGTACCTAGGTGTGCGATAGGGCTTACCGAGTCCCTGGCAACCAGCCGGTGAGCGGCATCGTTGGCCATTCTGACTTTATTCGCAAGATGATATCCAAAATGTTCAAGAACACAATTCAATCTCACGTGGGTGAAAGTATAAGAGGAAAAGAGGGAGGGGTTTGAGTCTCCCCCAGGTGTGAGAGGGAAATAACAGACAAGAGGGGGAAAAAAAAAAGAGAAGCTTAAAGTTGAGTAAAGGCCCATGGACAGCAGGGAGGAGAGGGGCCAGGATCTTCGATCTGTCTGCGTAATTGGAGCACTTCAGATTGTGTTTTCGTGTTAATTAAATTACTTTCCTATTTGGGATTTTAAAGGAATTTCTTTTTTCTTCAAAATTTTTTTAAAAAAAAAAATAGAATGTAAACGAACCTAATGTCACATCTAGCGCTGGTCAATCCATGGCAAATGGGCAATCCAGACTCTTTCCTTATGATCGCGAACCAAAGTTCCTCTTCGCAATGACCTAATTCACGGGTGGCCCCATTTTCTCATTCAATCACATGCAGTAATTTCTTTTTCTTTTCTCTTTTTTTTGCGTTTGATTAATTTTTCCATTCGGAGATGTCCGCCACACCACCCAGCCACATCTCCGTTGTACCTGAATAAGCTTCACGTCCTCCGTACTCCGTGCAACACAACTCACTTGATAAAGATCATGACGCTCAATTAATAAGCTTTGTTAATTTTGTAGTTAACTGCGCAAGGGATGCTGTGAGTTAAACAAAAATTCTAGGAATACTTCGTACGTATGGTGTACAACGTGCAGAATACAAAATCCTCGGTCGCACATAATCGAAATTAGAGCAAGCCCCAGAGAATTTTTGTCAGTTGGCCCTTGGAGAATCCAGGGGGGGGGGTTGTACATTGCTTCCCCACAGATAACAGTCCTCCTCCAGGCGGACATAAGGTCGCTTAGGATGTTAGTGCTCTCATATTGCTACAGCTTCTAACTTTTTGCTTTGTCTGTGGACCATGAACATCATTGCAGTCTGCCGAGTCATTGCACACCGATTCCCGCTAAGTCAGGAGGTGATCGTCAAATGATCATTTCACGCGAAGTACCGAGTACGGAGCACCTGAGATGGATCCAATAATTCTTGTAGATCGTGATTTGTCGCTACAAAGAGCGCTAAAGCGAGCTAGTGGGCTACACTATTGACTCGGATCGGTGTTTTCAGTGGGGCCAAGATTTGCATGAAACCCCCTTCGCGAGTTGAAATTGGTAACCGTCACGGAATACGGAATATTAGGGTGGTGTTTGGTGGGTAAATTTAGCGAGCTCTAAGAAGGATTGACATTCTCACAACTTGAAACCTCAGCTGCGCCCCCAGACAACAAGCGCTGCATTAACCACTCCGTACGCCTTCGTGAAAAAACAAAAAAAATTGTTTCCATATAAGATTCCAGGGCTGTTTTATGAACCATGGGCAATAAATTAATTCAGGACTATTACGATGTACTCACATTGTAACCTAAGAGTCACAGCCAACAAATTGCATGACGATCGATCTCACAAGTCGTGGATGGAGGCGACGCGAAACGCCGACGGATAGCACTCATGTACGTCGGGACAATTTTGTTGTGGAGATACCTCGGCATTACGCATGCGCTCGGGGCTCATAGAGACCTGATCTGCCAAGTGGTGTGGCAACGTCTGAAGAATCATGGAACTTTTTTTTCCCTCTACATTGATTACGTTGATGTACTACAACAGAGAGAATATCAATAGGTCTGAAAATCTGGAACCGGGGGGGAACCAGTCCTGGAGCTTCCAAGGTTTTCCCGTAGTCTCCACTGGGGTGAACTCAATGACGCTTAGACTTATCCCGATGCTCGGGTCATTCAGGACAGCCAAGACATTCCACTCGTGCCTGGCTTTGGTGTTTACACCATGGTTGTATTCCGCCTAGAGTAGCTATGCTGAGTTAAAATTACAGAATTTTCATTGAGAACGGGGTGCACTATATCGAAGCTCCTCTTCAAACGCAGTGACCCCACGGAGAGGTGTCTGAAAAGTTAAGAAACTCATGAGAATCTCATTAAACTGGAACTGGAGGTCCGGCCGTAGCCGTTTGTGTGCCTTGAGCAGCTCGCCAGTGGACCATCCACGCTCGGGATCTTGTAAATCGGAGTCGTGTCCTTCCTCCAGCAGTAACCACAGAAGGGTTTCGCAAGCTGGATCCCGATCGAGGTGATGCTGTGTGGCCACGGTACATAAAAAGTGAAGGAACCGATCGGTCTTATTTGGGGACTCTTGGAAATCCCACAGTGCAGCCGTAATATAAATGAGCGCCGCCGTTCGGGTGACCTCTTGAGTATGTGCATCACGGACCACATAGATACGTGACTCATACGGCACCTGGGAGGGCCGTGGTCCACTAGACAGCAGGGAAAATAAAGGACATTCCATCTCAAAAGCCTTGAGTCTGTGAGGTGCATGGAGGAGGTATTCGGGGGAGCTGTGTTGCCGCATGAGATCTTCGGCTCCGTGTAGAAAAGTGAGCAGCCATTGCTGCTCAGTCAAACTGATCTCGGGGCCTTCTGGCATCATAAGGTATCGGACGTAGTGGATGAATACTTCCACGGGCCTGTTGGTTCCTGTTCTCGGTCGCATGACCTGGACCGCCCGGTCAACGTACACGTGGGCCAGTTGCTTGCTCCCGAAGCGCCCTTCGTGCAAGGCCATTCCACCCAAGGCCATGGCAAGATCATCCGCTCTAACCAGCACCGAGCCTGACATGGCGTCATCGATAAGTTTCGCAGCTTGGCCAACATGACGCTGGATTTCGGTGCTGTCGGACAGGCCGTACAGTTGTGCTTTCCACCGCGCGCAGTATGATAGGACTACTGCCTTGAATGAAAGAGGGCTTCCCATAGCTGTGCGGAAAATCTGATTTTTAACGTAAAGGTTTTGTCCGGACCAGTACGTCAACTTATTCCTCCAATAATCAGCCAATTCAATATCTAGGCTGTCGTACTCAATTGGGAGACTAGCAAACGGATCCCTTCGCGAAGCGTCGAGCATGGTGACTGGCGAGCCAATGTGTGGTAGCGCGGATGTATGAGGTTGTGATTTCAAATTGGAGAATCTGATTTTTAGCTGTGCCACACCGTGATATTAGCATTTAGACCCATCATCTTTGCAGCGAAGCCTACACCTAGATATGCTAGCCTTGGCTGTAGCCTAGAGACTTGATTAGAGGAAAGTGATTCCCATACCGAATTTTCTCCGTTGTGAGAGTCTTGCGCAGATGTAGGGGGCGACTCCAGTCGTGTCTTTTCGATAATTCCTGCCTCATTCTTCACCACATGTGTGGTATAACCTGGGATTTGCTCTGTGGGGGATGTCCACCGCGAAATTTTGCGCTGTTTCCTTTTTTCCTGTACATGGTGGCGCATAACATGCGCACGCTTTTCTTTGGATGACGAGTTCTGATCAACAAAGTAGAAGTGCTGGTTCTTGGGAGGTGTGCTAGTCGACTTGGCGGCACGTCGTCGCCTTCCAAGTTTGGCCATTTGAGGGCCATGCCCAGAGGCAGATGGTGCTGCTTGATAAGCTTTAGCCGATTTTTGCATACAAGTTGAAAGATTGGCTTGTTAAGACGGACAGGGAGGCGTACCCGATGCATCCGTGTCAGACGGGCCCAACGGCGGGATAGCGTTGGGCCTGGCCAGTGTCGATACTAGCCGTCGTTCGTTCTCAGACATGTCGAGCTGGGAAAAAAATTTAAAATAGATTCTTTTTGTCAAACACAATAGAGCAGTTAAGACTGCTTAACCAACCGATAGTCGCCAAGATTCCTCCAGCCAAGGACTCGGGATATGGAAGAGACCATCGCAAGACATACAAGTTCTATGTCATGATAGTGTCAGAGGGTCACGGAGAATCCGTTCGGAGGAAAGGGTGATGCGGAAAGCACGCTAGCACAGAATAGTCTAACTTCTGAGGCAACACAACGCGAGGGGAAATATAATTCCACGGGAACTGATGGGATGCAGATGCTCAAGTCCGGCGGAGAAGCTCTTAGATAAGCGCCAAGCATCAACCATTTACCCAATTGATAAACTGGCAGTTGATTATTTCCGAGATGGCCCACTGAGTATATGCACACATGCGTGGTAGATCACATCTAGCACTACGTTGTTGACTTGTTCACTGTCCCACTCTGTGCTTCAAAAAATCTCAGACTTACAGTAAGAGTATGGAACATTTCATTTCAAATATAGATCATGCTACGGAGTATACTCCCGAGATGTGAAGTACCAAGGATTTGGGATATATCATTTAAAGTGGGTTTCTGTTTGAGGGGCTCACGGTCATATCTCCCTATTTGTCACATATCTCCAGTGAAAAGGGGTATTGCTTTATGACTCTTATGTTATGATTGACAAGTAATTCGGACCAAATAGGCCAAACTGGCCTGCATTGCAGTTTTCAAGTCCATACTACCCCATTGAACCTTTGATTCATAGGTATATATCAGATGAACATGTTTCGAGTTTTAAAGACCAGAGGTTGGGCCAGCTCGGGAAACTCGGGAGCTAGTTAGCATTTGTGCGCCTCACATGAGCGGTAGTGGGGGCGCCAAGCAGATGTTATTTGCAGTGAAGATGAAGAGGACCTATTGCCTGTATGGGTTAGCGTAATCTGTTACATAAGGAAACCACTTAACGCGTCGGTGTAGGATCAACTATTATTCCGAGAACGCGTTCGCGTCGCGCCTAAGTTGCCCAAGGAGACCCGCGAAGGACCCACGAAAAACTAAGATAGCAAATTGAGTCTACGATACCGTCTCTCCACATTTCCCTTTTTTCCCCCTCAAGACGTGGGAGCTTCATACCCTTTGGTTTTAACACTGGCCAGCTTCAGGCCATCGGTTCTTTGTCATGTCTTCCCTTTTCGACGCCGTGATCCAGTCCGAGCTAGGCTCTGCGCCTTCTCGTGATCAAAATCTCCGATCCGACAATTTGCCCAGCTCCCGACGCTCCGAGAGCAATGGTCCTATGAGTGATATGAATGCCTTCCCAGATGACCAAGTCGTCGGAGCAGGAAGCTCGACAATCAGCCGTATGCGGAATCCATATGCCCCTGGCCCTCCGCCGGTGGTCGATGAGGCGGCAGAGAAAGTCCAGCAGGCATTCGAAGAGCTGCTCGAGTCATATATCGATGAACCCTCATCTTCTGCGCCCCCTTCATCCGGAGAATTTCTTAGTGACAAGTATTATATTGCTCAGATCAAGGGGATGAAAAAATTCGAGCTGTCAACTCTTTACGTTGATTTCACACACATCCTCAATCCCGTCTTGGCAGATGCCATTGCCGGCCAATACTATCGATTCCAACCCTTTCTCACCAAGGGACTTCACAATCTCATCGCCAAGTACGAACCAGAATATTTCGTTTCCCACCGAATGACTGCCAGCGCTTCTTCGCGAGCCAGTACCTCGGTTGCCTCGGCATATGCGGGTGTTTCAGACAATCCCGACCTCGAGCGGCAGATCCGCGAAAAGACTCGCCACCAGCAAACTGACAAATTGTTTGCCCTTGCATTTTACAATCTACCTTTGGTTTCCAGACTGCGACAACTTCGGACGAATCAGATCGGAAGATTGCTTTCCGTCTCTGGTACCGTCACAAGAACTTCAGAAGTTAGACCGGAATTGTCGTTGGGAACTTTTATCTGCGAAGGTTGCAAAACTGTGGTCCCGAATGTTGAGCAGACTTTCAAATATACGGAACCAACGGAGTGCCCTAATAACACCTGCGGCAACCGCGTGGGATGGCGCCTGGATATCGGAAAAAGTACATTCGTCGATTGGCAAAAAGTCAAACTCCAGGAATCGTCGCATGAAATCCCGACTGGTAGTATGCCACGGACAATGGATGTCATCTTGCGTGGTGAGATGGTTGACCGCGCCAAGGCCGGTGAACGCTGCGTCTTTACGGGTACCCTGATTGTCGTTCCTGATGTCAGTCAATTGGGTCTTCCCGGTGTGCGCCCCGAGGCCGTCCGCGATAACAATTCCTTCCGGGGTAACGAAGTCGGTGGTAGTGGAGTCTCTGGATTGAAATCTCTGGGCGTGCGCGATCTCACTTACCGTTTGGCCTTCCTTTCTTGCATGGTTACCCCAGACACAACGACTCCTGGCCAGAAGCCGGAACAGCAGCTGAGTGGCCAGTCAAATAACATCCTGGCTTCCTTGAACCAGAACCAGGAGGCTGAAATTGGGGATGATTCAGCCCAAGAAGCTTTCCTGCAAAGTCTCACCCCGGCTGAAGTCCAGGATCTCAAGCGACTGGTGCACTCCGAATATATTTACTCCCGTCTTGTGGATTCGATTGCGCCCATGATCTGGGGTCATCGTCAAATCAAGAAGGGTCTGCTTCTGCAGTTAATTGGTGGTGTCGGCAAGTCGACATCATCCGAGAGCCTGAAACTTCGTGGTGACATCAACATCTGCATTGTTGGTGATCCATCGACCAGCAAGAGTCAATTCTTGAAGTGAGTTTTGCGAGCGCTTCACACATCGACATTGGTTGCTGACATGGTTCCTCAGATACGTCTGCTCATTGCACCCTCGTGCAGTGTACACCAGTGGTAAAGCCTCTTCGGCGGCTGGTTTGACCGCTTCGGTGGTGAAGGATCCCGAGACAGGGGAGTTCACTATTGAAGCTGGTGCCCTGATGCTCGCGGTATGTTCCAAAAATGGGCTTCAATCCCGTGTGGATTCATTGCTGACCTTTTCTTTATAGAACGGTGGTGGTATTTGTGCCATTGACGAATTCGACAAGATGGATGTCGCTGACCAGGTCGCTATTCACGAAGCCATGGAACAGCAGACAATCTCTATTGCCAAGGCTGGTATCCATACTACTCTCAACGCTCGCGCATCAATTCTCGCTGCGGCCAACCCCGTCAATGGTCGCTACGACCCAAAGCAAACCCTTCGGAACAACTTGAACTTCAGCGCTCCCATCATGAGTCGTTTCGATGTTTTCTTTGTTATTCGCGATGATCCCAAGGAGTCTGTTGACCGCAGTTTGGCCGAGCACATTGTCAACGTGCACATGAACCGCGATGAGGCTGTTGAACCCGAACTGAGCACAGAACAACTGCAGCGCTACATCCGGTTCGCGCGCACATTCCGCCCCGTCTTCACTGACGAAGCGAAGACACTGCTGGTCGAGAAATATAAGGAGTTGCGCTCCAATGACGCCCAGGGCGGCGTGGGCCGCTCTTCCTACCGTATCACTGTTCGTCAGCTTGAGTCTTTGATCCGGTTGTCCGAGGCTGTCGCCAAGGCCAACTGTGTCGAAGAGGTCATTCCCAAGTTCGTCATCGAGGCATACGATCTTCTCCGCCAAAGTATCGTCACGGTTGAGAAAGACGATGTCGAGATTGAAGATGATGTGCCCCCTCGCGCCAACGGCGTTGACGAAGACCAGGAGATGGCCGATGGCGATCACGAGGGTGACAGTCCCATGCGCGATGTCGCAGAGCCGGCTCAAGCTCCTGCCCAGCCGGAACGCCAGAAGACCAAGATCACTTACGACAAGTATGCCAAGATCCTGAACCAGATCGTCCGGCGCGTACACGAGGACGAGGTGAACTCGGGCGAAGGTGTCGAGCAAGAAGATCTTATACTCTGGTACTTGGAACAAATTGAGGGTGAACTCAACACCGAAGAAGATTACGAGCGCGAGCGGGAGTTGACCGGCAAAGTTTTGAAACGCATGGTCAAGGTTAGTCGCTCTTTACTCTGGCAATATCTACCATTCCTCTCAGGCACTCACAAACTTCTTCTTATAGGACAAAATTCTGCTGCGTATCTCCGGGTCTGGTCTCATGGATGGCACTGGCGATGTCGCTCAGCAAACTGACGGAAAGGTCCTTTTCGTCATGCATCCCGATTGCGCTTTCGAGGAGATGTGAGACGAAATTGTACTTTTTGTCGTTTGATTATGTTGGTCTGTTCCTTCTGTCGTGCTATCTGTATTCTAGGGCTGGGCTCTGTTGGGTATTTTCAATGGGTTAAAAATAGAAAGGAGTAGGGGGGGGGTTACGAATGATATCCATTTAGTTCTTACGTTCAACGAAGCATTGAAAGATACTGAATTCACGTCCACATCACAACATACACTATGTTAATTTTCTTCAATCTGATATCAGAAAAAGGAAAATTGAAGTCTAAAAGAGAATGTGAGATCAGAGCCCGATCTTCTCCGAAAACAGGATTCCGAACCCTAGCACGCAGGCATGGCTTGATCTGGCTTTCCATGCCTTTTTCGATCCTTTGAAAGATCTGACTTCATTCGGGTTTCCTGTATTGCATTTTTGCTTTACGCCACTCGATCCATTTTTGGGTCGCCTATCTGCTGGTCACTACCAATTTCTTTGCCGATCGCAATAGACGGGAGGGCACTTTGACCCTCAGTTGTTTAGTGCGCAGAGCCAGGATAGGATCTGTTAAAAATCAGTGATCGAGTCTCTTAATCTTCACTCCAGCCTTTACGGTCCGATGTGCTCGTTTTGGCTAGGGCCAGGTTCGTGGTGACCAGGTCTAGGTTCGAGATCATCACGAAGTGGTTCTTACTCAATGTTGCTGTTCCGTTTGAGACACAGGTGATGGCGAGAAGACGAACGAGGGTGGTCAAAGATAATTCTCTGGGAGCAGAGAAGGCAGACATCAAGATAAATCCGAAGCTGTCGCACATTGGAGACTCCAGAACAGGATTCGAATTCATCGTCAGACCGGTAAAGAGCTTGCTTCTAGACTGGCTCACTTCGTTCACGGTCAGAATGGACCATCTGCCTGATTGGAGTTCAAGTCAACTCCAGTCCCTTGCCACCAGGAGATAACCTCACCCGGCCCCAGACGTCAATCAAACCGTGTTACTCGGAGCTTCATGTTTGGTGCCACGGTTGGCGCCAGGTCACACTCGATGCTATGGCCTTCGTACGGCTGAGCGAACGATAAGCTCATTTTCATCGTATTGACTCTGTTGTTTTGACGTGGCCAGCTCGCTTGTGAAAGACGTTGTATATGCTGATAGTTCATCTACAAAGGCTTCTACGCGAAATTACCCGGGGGACAGGCTACTCAGTCGATGCGTCTTAATCATGCTCGGGCGAAGATACAAAGAAACGGATTCAAGATTGGATATGTACATGATGATTTCCCATTTTATCGACAATAGAAGCCCCCTCCTCCAATGATTTTGCAGAACCATCCGATCAGCACCAAAAGGGCTGTTCCGGGCCATGTCCGACCAGTACACCAGAATGGGATCTGTACATTTCATCATCGAACCCGATGGATTGGCCGATGTGGCGCTTAGAGCTGACCAAAGCAAGCGGCGTTGTCGGCGGCACACTGAGCGTGGTTGGCGTCGGGGCCAGTGCGGCAGGTATCGAAGGCATTCGAGCAGCACTCGGCGTGGTTGGCGGCGCACTCGGCGTGGTTGGCATCCACGCCGATACGGCAGGAGTTGAATTCCTTCTGGCACTGAGCGTTGGTGGCGGCCAGGGAAACGGTGGCAAGAGCCAGAGTGATGAGGGCGGAGAGGCGGACCATTTTGAAGTTTGGTGAGGGTGTTTTTGGAAGTGGGTTGGAAGAAAGTGAGAGATGGATGTTGGATGCTTCTTTCTGGGCAAGACTTGAGCTCCCTTTTTATACCTTCGAGCCCAGCATCGACGACAGGAAGATTCTAGCGTCCACGTCCAGGGGTCATCGAAGTGGGGAAGACCGTCTGAATAGTTGTCTTTCAATTCTCCAAAAACAGTCGTGGAGGGTTGCGGAGCATACCCCGTATAGCGAAGTATTTTAAGATATTGTGCTCCGTACGGGGTCAAGATAGTCAAGAGTTCAACTGAGACACTGTCGTTTGGAGAAGGGTTGGTCTCCGTGTATCTACCAGGCACGTCTATCGTAAACGACGAATGGTGCATGTCCAGAATGCTCGTCCTTGTCCATGTATGTTCGACCGGAAAATAACCTTTCGATGATACCCCGGATTTAAGCTGTCAAGGATGACACTTTTATGATGAAGGCGTGATCCCGAAAGCCTTAATGCCGCCCCCCCCCCCAGTGTGAGTGGAACAGGTTCTCCACTCTTTTTCAATCCACTGATGAGCGTGTTATTTTAAGACATTTGGGGGAATTGTCTTCATTCGGAAAGGAGTGTTATTTATAGCGTCGCATAGTAGCACCCTAGACTTTTATGTAATGTACATATTAAGTGGTTTCTGAGTAAAGTACTACTATGCAGGACTGGGGAACTCCCTATACTCCCCAGAGTTTAGGTTGTACGTTGTAGGTGCAACCCCCTAGTGTGGACCCTGAGGCGGCGCCAAGGAGAGTCGATTAATACGGAGCACCTCAGAAAGAGACATCTGAACAGATTACCATCGACTACTGGATCCCGTCAATCTCGAGGACAGAGGTTGCAGAACACGGCCGACTTTTGGAATCGATGCGGGAAAAGGATTTACAACATACATATAATTCCAGGTGCGATGTGCCTCGACAAGAACACAAAGTCTATGGAGAAAGAACAGTGAGACCTCCAACGGAGACCCTTCACATACCGCCTTCTAAGTGGAGTTGCAAAGTTCCGCCCAATCCCTTGGCGGTCCCACTGTAATAACGAACAGCTAGCTCGGACTTGGGCCGAGAGTTATTCCAACATGCGCTGTATTAGGGGGTTTGTTGGATCACCAAGCACAGGCTACACTACCTGTAGATTTACTCAAACTTGATGTTCTCCTGGATGAGAGGGTCACGATATCCTTATGTCGTATTGATGTGGCCTAGTGGGAGCGGTCAAAAACATATACCGTGTTTAACTATGCTTGGTCGGATACAAGGTATCAATCTCCACCAGCACTGTGGCAGAAACCACCTCGTTGTATTTCCGTACCCACGTCTCAATTTTGCTGTGCCTGAATTGCACGTTCGCCATTCACCTTGACACATTGACAAAGATAAGCGACGGCGTCTGCAGTGTCGTATAGACGTTGGTTCGGTTTTGTCAGCCGGATCCGTCTTGCCGCACAGAGCGTATTCCCAGGGGACAACATAGACTGTGAGTCTGGGCTTGCTGAGGAGGATAACATTCTGATAATGGGAGGTCCCCATGAGGTCATGCTCCAGAACGCGGTTTAGGAATAACGACATATAATTATTGAACCTGTATGCGCCGAGTTGAGATTTTGATTGCTGTTGGGCATGTTTGGATGCGTCTTTTAAAAAGATGACTTTGCTCGTCTGCACCAAAAAAAAAGTCGACGTTGCCAGTACTGTGTCTAGAACGAAGGTAAATGGTATTGACTGCACCTCCGGCTACATCAATGGTCAAAGTGACGCCTTGTTCGCGGAGATAGTCTGCCCTGTATTGGAGTGCAAGGAGGAGCTGATCTCGATTGATCTCAAACGATCCGGGAATGACCGGCCGGCCAGTGCCATCCCTCGGGGGAGTCGGAATCATCTGGAGCCCACCAGATAGCCCTGAAATGTTCATAGGTCACCCTGTATCTCCGCCTACGTGGCGTTGGCGATCTCGAGAGTGCTGAGAGGTGTGATTTTCCATCTTGGCTAGATCAGTTTATACTGCGTTACCTGACGGTGAGGAATATCTGGTCTACATAATTCATCCCACTTGACAGCATGTGGCTGATTCCCGAATTCCTGAAATGTCTATGGCACAGTGATTCAACTGATAAAATAGCCCATCTTTCCCCCGCCAAAGCCCGAAGAACTCCTCGCTCGTCCCGATGTCTACCGCGAACGCCTCTCCAAACGCGCCTACCGAACCCCTAAAGACAAACTGGAAGATTGCCCATTATTTTCACTATGTCGACTCGATGAGCGCTTGATTTTGAATGACAACATCGGTTTGCGAAATGAAATCGAGCATATCTGGTACGCGAAATGGCCGGTAGCCTCTATTCCCGATCCACAGGACCCCTCTGGATCACGCTACGCGGTTCTTTCTGCTAAACCGCCCCTGTTGGTCGAATTCATTCAACCAGCGTATCGAGCTAGGTCTGCCACGGAAAGTTGATCCCATCACGTCACGTGAAGAAATGGACTGGTACCAAAAGGAGGACAGAATATAGGAGTCAACCCGTGGACAGACCAGGTGGCGCGGTTAGAAGAGACCCTAGTAATCTCACATGATACCGAACAGACTCTTGGGTCGTTCGCAGAGGAAAGGGCTAGCGAGCAGCTGGCAGCGAAAAACATCCTGCATTGGCAACCGCATATTCATTTTATTTAACGGCGAAACCTGTTGGGCTTTCTTTTGCAATGAGTTATGACGTGATGAGTGGTTGCTCCTGTAAATCCTTGCGCTTAGTGGAAATCGATAGCAATTGGGCTTGTTTCCTCGCTTCTCGGCGCATTCGGTGCAACGGCGGCGTTGATGACAGGTGTTTCTTCCGGAAGCTCAACATTCCTCCTCATAGTGATCTTGCTCCACAGAGTTTTTTTGGGAGCGCCAAATATATTGTAACCTTCCCCCTGCATTTGTAATCCGTTCCTAACATCCTCGATTCCATCGTGGTGGATGACAGCAACACCACAGGCCCCATGGATATGCCCACAGACAACCATCTTGGGTCTTACTCTTTATATCTCTCGCAATAGATACCCATCTCCTTTGACCTTGATCTTTCCATCTGGTCCCTTCTCGCCGTCGCCGTCACCATAAAGAGCCGGAGGGCCGTGCACCACTAGGACATCAGTATCATCCGGAATCTGTCCAGTCCACACATCGCGAATCGAGGGATACTGAAAGGCCCAAAGGCCAAATTCCGGCGTCATTGGAGACCCGTATTATTTCACCCTGCGCACTTGCTGCTCCCCGGTAGGGGAGACTGGCAGTTCCAGCGTTACTGCTTCATCTTGCAAATAGTGAATCCCGGTCCAATCCAATTCCTTCCGTTTCGTGGCACTAATTCCCTCGCGCGTAGGAAACTTCCTCTCTCTTGCTTCGTCGAGGATAAGGTCGTGGTTTCCTGCTATGACAATCTTATGTTTATGTGGCTGAGAAGACAACCAGTGGAGCTGCGCTTGCACCTCGTCAAAGGTTCCATATGCCGTTAAGTCGCCCGCGTGGACCAGGATATCACCGGGTGGTAGAGGAGGGGTTGCATTGTGCGTGTCTGAGATGCAACTTATGCGGATTGGAGGGAGATTTGAATTGTTTGGAATATGAATTGGCGTTGATGATTTCCGAGGCATGGACTGTGTAAGTACTCCTAATAAAACATCCCAGAGCGGCTGTATTATAAGTTCCAGCCATGTTGGTGGTCGTGTTCGGTTGTTGTATGGTGAGGGAAGTAGATGGTTATTCATTGGAAGGTTTCCCGACTCCAAGCCCTGCCATATTCCAAAGGGGATTGTGGCTCATTTTCCAGGACGTCACATTAGCGGTTGGGTCTGCATAATCAATAAGAAGCTTTGGTAGTTCAGTGGTAGAATACTACTCTTCCATGTCACTTCTTCTGAGGTGTTGTGTTAAGTAGTGGCCGGGGTTCGATTCCCCGTCAATGCAATCTCTTTTTTTGATTGGATCAACCCCCGGTTTTCAAACCCACTGGGACGATTGCAATGGTTTTTCTGTCTGTTGGTTATTTTTTTTTCTTGCACAGTCAGTGGCCCAAGAACTAATATAGCTAAGTAAAAAAAAAATTCCAATCGATGGCATCCGTACATGGATATCAAGTCCTACATCCGGTCCGGTTGGCCTGTGACTCAACTCTATATATATTTGGAAAGAATATCCTCATTGTACCGACTAGGATCTTCCTCTAATAGCATGCGGGAGTGCATAGTCTGAATATCAAGCTTCAATGTCCCGACTGTAAAGAAGTCTATCAAACACCATGAGGTTGCTCAAATTTTCGAGCTGTGCTGCGTTTATATATTTCTTGTTCGATACTTTTACTCCGTTAGATGGCACCTCGGGTACTGCATGCCTCTAACCGAATAATGCAGTCACCGGATGGAAAAGTATCAGTCCACCAGTATCCTGGCTCTCTATGATTGAGGCATCCTCGAGTGCTTGGTACTATAAGAATGCATCGTTTGTAGACACAATCAGTGTTCTTTCGTGTTTTACAACGGTACAGCCTGTACACATGTGACATGTAGGTACTTTTGTCGAGACCGAGGTTAATCCCGTAGGCAAATCAGGCCGCTGCTCTGGATGGATTACATAAGACCAGTTAACGTATTCGGTAAGCGAGCTGGCCACCCCAACCAAAACGCGTCCATGAATTAGATCTTACTTAGTTCAACCACCCACTTTGCCACCAATTCGTACTCAATCCTCTCGAAATTCAATAGAGCAGGAGGGTAGGATCTGACTAGCTACACAGGCTTTTAAGAATCAAGAAATCTCTTCAATTCGTGAAGTGGCGCGCCGTTTTAACGTCCCAAGATCCACCCTTTCTGTCACGGTGCGAACTGTGATGCTTAGTAAGAGGAAGATCACGACACGTGATATCCGACCTGTTTATCTGAACTTCAGTTCTAGATCCTGTTGTAGCTCTTCGAGCTACGTCTTGTATAATAGCCTGCCCCTGCCTGTACCTGTCAATGGGAATCTGATCTGTCATGACCTGTTCCTACCAGTCATCTCCTATCATACCGTCCTGCCAGCCCGCACCCTGACACGGTAACGATCAGGTGGTAGGCCCAATGTGGGTATACCGCTCTATGCAAAGATTACCACCTGAGATACCCTATATTAACCCAAAAATGGCCGAAAAGTGAAGGTTGATAGTGAGCAATACGGCCTAATATTACTTTGGTTTATTAGCCTCCGTATGCTATTTGAAAATTATCTATTCCGACCCTATAAGATCTTTAATTGGGATAAAACTGGTTACTAAATTAGCTAAGGCAAACGGTAAAAGGTGCTAGCACCTTTTGCTACCTATACTAACCTAACTGGTGGTTAAAAGGAATCAATTACCGGTATTGATAGATATAAATACTCTTTCATCCCAAGCAAATGCATTACTAAGGTG